AAATATTCATTACCGATTTGGTTACCAAGCCATTATGTTAACAAAGCATGTCGCACGAAATAAATAGTTATTTGCCGGACACTTAAATCTCCTATAAGTACTTATATAAAGGTTTTGCCGACAAAAAGTACTTCTTTCTTTAATCGATATTTAGTGGCTACAAAAACTAGTTATTTCGTGCGACATTCTCTAGATAGTACACAAATTTCTTACAAATTGTCTTGCTTGGTGCACTTTCCAATTTTTTTGCTGCGTTACAGGGTAAGTGTACATGTAGTCGGCACTTTTAGGCTTTTCAATATTTCAATCTTTCGTCATTCTGAGTGAAATCTTTGAATTGCAGAAAAATAAAGTTGTTCAGATTCCATATTTTGTTTAGTTTTCGAAATAATAAACAACAATATAATTTGTTTTTATTAAATTGGCAAAATTTGAAATTGTACCAAAGTAGTAGTTTTGCCAGTAGTCGGCACCATTTTCCAATCCTCGGCATGTCTATTTGCCAGTAGTCGGCATATAGTATTTCAGTAAAAAAAAATATTATTTTGTATTTTTTTATTTCTAATAGTATAAAACAATGCTGTAATACTAATTCACAGTTTAATTTACTAATTTCGTTTTTAAATAGTGTTTTATTATACCCTCAGCCATATGGCTACAGAGGGTATATATCATTTGATACGGCCAAAACGTGCCTAGTCGAAATAACGGTTTTAGACCCTAGGTCTCTTTGGACCAAATCCGTTTCAGAACATTTGGATTCGATCTAGTGATATCCGTCCGTCCGTCCGTCCGTCCGTCTGTCTGTCTGTCTGTCTGTCTGGCTGGCTGGTGCGCACGATAACTCTCGAAGGGAGTATCCGATTTGGTCCAAATTGGCTACAACGTAATATTTTTGTCAAACTTAGATCGAGTTCGGAGATGGGCAATATCGGTCCACTCCTTCTGGTACCTCCCCCACAAAAGGGTGAAATTTTCAAAAAATATATTTTTTGCACAGGAAGAGAAAGGACAATCCGAATTTGCTCCAACTTTGCAAATCCTAATATTTGCGTCAGTGCTAGTTCAAGTGTGAAAATGGGCAATATCGGTCCACTCCATCAAGTACCTCCCCCACTAATGGTCAAAATTTTGAATAATTACAACTCTCATAAAATGTTATGTAAGAGTCCGATTGTCTTCAAATTTCACACATCCCAATATTTATATTAACCCAAGGTCTTGTGTTAAGATGAACAATATCGGTCCAGTCCTTCTGGTACCTCCCCCACAAAAGGTCGAAATGTTCAAAAAATATATTCTTTGCACAGAAAGAGAAAGGATAATCCGAATTTGCTCCAACTTTGCAAATCCTAATATTTGCGTCAGTGCTAGGGCAGGTGTAGAAATGGACAATATCGGTCCACTCCATCAAGTACCTCCCCCACAAATGGTCAAAATTTTGAATAATTACAACTCTCATAAAATGTTATGTAAGAGTCCGATTGTCTTCAAATTTCACACATCCCAATATTTATATTAACCCAAGGTCTTGTGTTAAGATGAACAATATCGGCCCACTCCTTCTGGTACCTCCCCCACAAAAGGTCGAAATTTTCAAAAAAAAAAAACAAATTTTTTGCACAGAAAGAGAAAGGCTAATCCGAATTTGCTCAGACTTTGCGAATCCTAATATTTGCGTCAGTGCTAGGACAGGTGTGAAAATGGACAATATCGGTCCACTCCACCAAGTACCTCCCCCACAAAATATTGAAATTTTGTGTACCCGTGAAGCTCATAAATCGCCAAATTAACATCCGATTCCATTTAGACTTGGCACATCTGTCGAAATATTTATATCATATTTTGGGTCCGATACGAAATGGGCAATATTGGCCCATTCCTTCGGGATCTGCTCCATAGAGGGTCAAACGTTTGAATAACCTTAACACTAGTCAAAATATATTTAGATAATCGAACATAGGCTGAGGGTATATCTCTGGCGGCAATACCGACTGATACTTTTTAACTTGTTTAATTATCATTCTAAACCAAATATAGGTAGAAAATCAAGAATTGTATGGTTACCTTCAGTAACGTATGGATTTTCAATTGAAATAAAAATGAGATTAAATAAAAAAGTACCTTTCTTATATTTGGAATTTGTGAATTGATCTTTTTCCTTTGGATAACCAACATTTTTTTTTAAATGCCTCCGCTATCTAATACGTCAAATAGCCGATTAAAAAAAAAACCTACTTAATTTAGAAAAGTTGGTCAAAAAGCACAAAAAAAAGCAACTGCTGACTCAAAACTATTTTTTTATTTGAGTAGTTTTTGTATTATTTTTTAATACTTTTCTCAAGTTTTGGTGAAATAGGTCAAAAATGATATTTTTCTAGTAATCGGCAACCCCTGCCGACTACAGGCAAATCTCTTTTTTTCTGTTCCTAATGTGGGCATTAAATAATATAAGAGAAAAATGCTTGATTATGTATGTTTTTTAAGTTATAAAATGATCTTTAGACTGTTATTTACTTTAATAATATATTTCTGATTCCAAAAGTATTAAATTTAATTTACTTAAATCGATTATTAAGTTGACGCCACCACTAATTTTTATACCCTCAGCCATATGGCCACAGAGGGTATATATCATTTGATACGGTCAAAACGAGCCTAGTCGAAATAACGGTTTTAGACCCTAGGTCTCTTTGGACCAAATCCGTTTCAGAACATTTGGAGTCGATCTAGGAATGTCCGTCCGTCCGTCCGTCTGTCTGTCTGTCTGGCTGGCTGGTGCGCACGATAACTCTTGAAGGGAGTATCCGATTTGGTCCAAACTTGATACATCGTAATATTTTTGTCAAACTTAGATCGAGTTCGGAGATGGGTAATATCGGTCCACTCCTTCTGGTACCTCCCCCACAAAAGGTCGAAATTTTCAAAAAATTTATTTTTTGCACAGAAAGAGAAGCTATAAACCGATTTTGCCCCAACTTTGCAAATCTTAATATTTGCGTCAGTGTTAGGTCAAGTGTGAAAATGGACAATATCGGTCCACTCCATCAAGTACCTCCCCCACAAATGGTCAAAATTTTGAATAATTACAACTCTCATAATATGTGATGTAAGAGTCCGATTGTCTTCAAATTTCACACATTCCAATATTTATGTTAGCCCAAGGTCTGATGTTAAGATGGAATATATCGGTAAATTCCTTCTGGTACCTCCCCCACAAATGGTCGAAATTTTAACAAATATATAATTTTTGCACAGAAAGAGAAACGATAATCCGAATTTGCTCAAACTTTGCAAATCTCAATATTTGCGTAAGTGCTAGGTCAAGTGTAAAAATTGACAATATCGGTCCACTCCTTCTGGTACCTCCCCCACAAAGGGTCGAAATTTTAAATGATTACAACTCTCATAAAATGTGATGTAAGAGTCCGATTGTCTTCAAATTTCACACATCTTAATATTTATATTAACCCACGGTCTGGTGTTAAGATGGAATATATCGGTCCACTCCTTCTGGTACCTCCCACACAAATGATCAAGATTTTCAAAAAAAATAAAATATATAAAAAAATATATAAAAAAAATATTTTCTGCACAGAAAGAGAATCGATAATCCGATTTTGTTCCAACTTTGCAAATCCTGATATTTACATCAGTTCTAGGTCAGGTGCAAAAATGAATAACATAGGTCCACTCCATCAAGTACTCCACCCCCCCCCCCCCCCCACACAAAAGGTCGAAATTTTGAATATTCATCACGCTCTTCAAACACTTGAACACGATTCCATTCCAAAGAATCCGAAATAAACATCCAGTTCTCTTCATATTACACACGTCCCATTATTTCTACTAACTCAAGATCTGGTGTGAAGATGGGATATATCGGTCCACTCCTTCTGGTACCTCCCCCACAAAAGGTCAAAATTATGAGTATCCATGAAGTTCATAAAACGCAAAATTATCATCCGATTCTATTCAAACTAGGATGATGTATTATATCTGTATTAGATGAAGTGTGAAAATGGAATACTTCGGTCCGCTGTATCTGTTACCTGACGCATATTTCCATTTTCCGAAAAGGTGCACATACCTCATATAAAGTACAAGAAGTAGTCGATATAGTCCAAATCTGTCACGTTCGTAACTCAAGGCTGAGGGTATACATCTGTCGGCAAAACCGACTGATACTATTTTACTTGTTTCTTTACAAACAAGCACTATCGCACGCGTTGGAAGACACTCACTGACGAAAACCGTTATTCTCTCGTAATAAATGATCGGAGCTCATTGTTTTTTTTTTTTTACAGAAAGAGAGCAGAGAACACTGTTGACGTTTTTTTGCAATTATTTCATTATTTGGTCAATTCTATTCTTAGTTATTTAAGTTTAAATTTCAAACCTGCCGACTACTGGGACATGCCGAACTTAGGCGCACTTACCCTACGTGTCTTTCATTTGAATCCTTGAAGCCAAAATCCAGGGTAGTACAAATATGGTTGATTATATAAAAATGATGAGGGTGAAAAATTGACTTGTTCTTAATGCGATCTTTCCATTGCCCCCTATATTGAATGTCTTACCAATATTGAAATAGTTAAAATTTTTATTGTTTAAACCCATTTTACCTACTAAATCAACCGAATTGCTTTTCAAGATTGTTTTCTTTCAAAGATCTGCAACAATTTCAATTTCCATAGAGACTCTAATTTAGTGTTTCTTGCAAAATCTTTTCAAGTGAATATAAATCATTGAATGATTTGAATCGCATTAGTTTATGCTCAAGTAGATATCCAGTTTAAAAACACACTTATGTATCCAAATATATATCACACACACACACACTCTCATCTATATGTTTTCTAATCAAACACAGCGTATCTCCAAAGATTATTGATACTTTGGTTGATGTCACTTACAGCGAATGAACTGACATGAATCTGATTTTATTTTTCAATTCTCTCCCTATTTCTTTCATTCTCTCTTTCCTTTTCTCATTGCAGTTAATGGCAATCCGGCATTGAATCAACGACCATTTTTACAAATTGAAAGTCCCTCCATAACAAGACTGGTTATAACCAGACCCCACCTTCCTCATTATCTGTCGTGTAAGGCCACAATCGATGAATCCTACTATCAGAGTAAGTAGCAACGAATGTTTTCCCATGATATTTTCCTTCCAACACATATGTGAGTGCATGTGCACACACACATACTCGTAATGTGTGTGTGTGTGTGTGCACGAATTTGTGCACATGTTAATGAGAAATTTTTACCTTCATTTACAGATGAAACCAATTACTTTTATACCTGGTTCTTCAACGATAACATCTTAAAATCTCTACCAAGAAAACTTAACGATTATTATGTCTATCGAAATGGAACACTACGCTTACCACCTGCCGAGAAAGTTAGTGGAGTGTATCGATGCAAAATCAATGCTAACGAAACAGCGGTTATATCCGAAAGTATTACCGTTGAGTATCCTGGTAAGATGGAAATCAATTAAAAATTCATATCAAATTTGCCTTTTTTTTTGGGGGGGAGGGTGCGGGGAAAGGGTATCGGTATCTCGTATACAAAGGCCATTAAGAGTTTGTAAGTGAATTTTTGAGAAAGTTTAATGCTTTAAAAAGTTCTTAACAAGATTTAAAGTTTGTCAATATTTAAGTGGAATGTTAATGGATGGATGGTGGTATGGTAAATGGGCATTCAATTTATTGCCAACTGTTTAACATTAATTTAAAAGATGTGAAAAATAAGAATTTAAAACAATCGTTGTCCTTATACAGGGTGAGATATAAAAACTACAATCAAATTTAGATGGCTGTCATTTCTAAGCCACTCGTCCGACAGCTGTTCAAATTATTCCAGTGACAGCTCATTATATTGTTTATAAGCGTACAAAAGCATTTTGGTGAGAATTTTCCAGAAAAAAAATTATTCGTGATGGAGTTCAGAAGTGAGAGTGTGATTTCTTTATATTTGGCTGGAAAACCACAAGTGGCTATCGCTAGAGAACACCATCATTTAAATGTCGCTCGTAACCGTGATACTGGTAGCGTAGCCCGACGTTAAGGAAGTGAACGGAGGATAGCAGCTACATCAGCAGAAATGGTTCGAAAAATATAGAAGTGACTTAATCGAAACCCACGTCGCAATAGCCGAAAAATGACTCGTGAGCTGAACATATAGCAATATTCCATTCGTCAAATATTGAAAAATGATCTCGTGGTAAAGCCATTGAAATTCCAAAAAGAGCAAGAACTTACACCGCAACAGAAAGAAAATAGACTCAAAAGAGCTAAAAAACTGCTTCGCGAAAGTGGTAAACTGCCGAATTTGTCCAGAGTTTGTAAACAAACAAAATGATCGTGTTTACTTGTCAAAGAGGTCAGTTGAAAATGTGCACCTTCGGTTGGCCACCAGAACTCAACGGCGGCCATGGTATGGTGTGTGTGCGGCCATCGCCTCAGTACGCGCCTCCCAAGAATGGTTACAAAATGAGGTCTCTCGCTTCATTTCCAGCGCACAATGGCCTCCAAAATCTCCGGATACCAAACCGTTGGACTATAGTGTCTGGAGTATTTTGGAAAACAAGGTTGGCACTAAAAAATACCAAAGTGTCGATCACCTTAGGCAAGCGCTTCGCCGAGAATATGCCAAAAAATACCGCAGAGCAAAATTCGGGCAGCGTTTGACGATTTCATTGGCCGTTTAAAGGTCATAATTCGTGCCAAAGGTGACCAATTCGAACAAATCTAAACTTATTCCAAAATTTGAAGCTATTTTCGATATTTTTTGCTTTCATTCAGTAACCAGTAAAGAAAGTTTTAAAGTCGAGCGGGCCGGCTTTATGATACCCTACACCACTTTGGTAATTTAGTAGAGCTCCGCATGACAAAAGTTTTTATGGGAGAATTCAATCATACAATTTAAAGTTTAAAGGACTAAATATGCCGAAGCACTTGTATCTTTTAAATTCGGACTGGTGTTGCCCATTTGGTGCAGATATATATGGGAGCTATATCCAAATCTGAGCCGATCTCGATAAAATTTGGCAAAGATATTTCTGAGCTGTATTTGATAAATTTCCCTGTGCATATTACGGTTGTGGGTAACAATATAACAAATCGGATGAACAATATATGTGGAAGCTATAGCTATATCTGAACCGATCTTCACCAAATTTGACATACTAGCTTCCAGACTCAATTCGGTCGTAAGTGCCAAATTCCATCCCATTTCAACAAATATTAGACGCTTGGTGCACAATAAAAGGTAAATCGGACGAAGTTATATATGGGAGCTATATCCAAATCTGAACCGATCTCGATAAAATTTAGCAAATGTATTTCTGAGCTGTATTTGATATATTTCCTCAAATATTGTTGTTACAGAGTGCATATTACGGCTGCGGAGGACAAAAATAACTAATCGGTTGAACAATATATATGGGAGCTATAGCTATATCTGAACCGATTTCGATCAAATTTGGCATACTTATTTTTAGGCCTGGTTGTATGTGCAAAATTCTATACTATTCGGACTGATATTACACGTTTGGTGCACAATAAAAGGCAAATCGGACTAAGATATATATGGGAGCTATATCTAAATTTTGAACGATTATCTCCAATTTCAATAGGGTTCGTCCTTGGGCCAAACAAATGATATGTGCAAAATTTCATCTCAATCGGATAATAAATGCGACCTGCATTTTGCTCACAAGAATACATGGACAGACGGACGGACGGACGGACTGACATGCATAAATCAACTCAGAAAGTGATTCTATGGAGATCCTCAAAAGTAACTATGGTCTATCTCGCTTCCTTCTTCATGTTACAAACAAATGCACAAAGACATAATATCCTTAAAACTATGTGGTGTAGGGTATAAAAATGTAAAAATTATGGTGTTTGACTTTGTTGCAGTTTTTTATCTCACCCTTATTTGATGCAATGTTTGGTTTAAGTTTGTTATGAATATTACAAAGCTAACCTTTCTGTGGGAGAGGAGCTAGAAGTAGTATACCGATGTTGTCGCAATATTTTAATTCAAACGTCTTTCACTTTAAACTACAAATACCTGTAAGACCTTTTGGAAAATGCTGTTAAACATTTCAAAAAACTTTTCAAAATGCCGAATATCGGTGGGTATCGTTATATGTGCTAAATAGGGAAACTTAGACCTAAACGTTCAATGTTCTGCCATCGGGACTAGAACCCATTATGAACTAAAAATACCAATTTTTAGACAAATAAATGGAGAAATGTGGTATAAATCATCAAAATACGGAATATCTGGAGGAGCCATTACTACTACTATGTTCCGCTCCTGTAGCTAGAACCCATTACGAACTGCAAATACCAATTTTCGGACAAATACGTGGAAAAATGTGGCAAAAATTATAAAAATCAAGAAGTACCGTTATATGGGGGCCATGCAAAAACGTGAACCTATACATACAATGTTTCGCCACCGGAGCTAGAACCATTTATAACCTATAAAATACCAATTTTTAGACAAATTTGTGGAAAATGTGACGAAAATCATTAAATATCGAATGTAGGGAGCAGGAGCTCCATGTCAAATAATGTGGACTGTATCATGATTTCAACAGACGGACATAGTTAAATCGAATTTATGAAGTCTATGACGAATATTTAGGAATAATAAAGTTAATATACCCTCCTTTTCAAGATGGAGGGTATAAAAACTGACCACCACCTTTTCTTAACCCCAGAAACCAAAATCTCCAAATCAAGTTTCGGGATTCAAACTCTATCCTAAGACACAATTCCAAATTTATTACAATACTTTATGCGTGCCCAAAGCCATTTCCTTTTCTCCATCCAAGACACCAACAATGATCTCGATACCGAATTTCACAATTCCATCTCTATCCCAACACCCAACGGCACATTTTGTAGCATTTTGCGTTTTTTGTACCTTCATAGTACGAATTTCCAAAACCACCTCATTCACTCAACTACAGACAACAACAGTGACATCCTTATCGAATTTCGGGATTTCAGTTCTATTCTTTCACTCAATACAAAGTTTAATAGCATTTAGTTTTTTCCTTTTTTGTACAATTAAAGTACACATTTTTAAATTAATCTCCATATCTCAACCTCAGATACCAACGGTGGCCTTAATATCAAATTTCAGGATTTCAGTTTAATTTCAGTAATTTTCACAATTACCAAATTTAGTAAGATTTAGTACAATTTCAGTACGCTTTTCTAAAACCAGATCTCTCTCTCAATTCATCCATATCAAATATGATATAAGTTCTATAGCATTTATAGTAGCATTTAGTACTTTTCGAACAATTATAGTACAGATTTCCAAAGCCACCTCCATATCTCAATTCCAGATACTACTAACAGATACCTCACTATCAAATTTGAGGATTCCTTATCCATCCTTATTCCAGCCTTAACCCTTTATCCAATACCCAATTTAGTATCAATTTGTACCTTTTCCCAAAACCACCCCCATATCTTAACCACAGACACCAACAGAGACCTCAATATCAATATTTCGGGACCCCAGCTCTATTCCATCACCCAATATTAAATTTAGTACTTTTCGTACAAATAAAGAACGCCTTTCCTGATTTCACATGAACAGCGACCATAATACCAAATTTCAGATTACAACTACCACAGGGTGAGATAAAAAAAAGCTGCAAAGTGTCGGAAATAACATAAAATTTTAGAATAAGTTTAGTTTTGTTCGAATTGAACACCCTTTGTACGAATTATGCCCCTCAAACGGCCAATGAAACCGTCACACGCTGGCCGAATGTTGCTCTGCGGTATTTTGGTCCATTCCCAGCGAAGCGCTTGTTTGAGGTGATCGAAATTTTGTTTTTTTTTTAGTGCCAAACTTGCTTTCCAAAATATTCCAGACACAATAGTCCTACGGATTGGTATCCGGAAATGTTGGGGGCAATTGTGCGCTGAAAATGAAGCGAGGAACCTGATTTTGTAACCATTCTTGGGTGGCGCGTGCTGAGTGTGATGGTGCTGAGTCCTGTTGAAATGTCCAAGGCCTGCGGCCGAAATGTTTGCGTGCACAAGTCTTTAATACACCCCCAGAATATTTTCGGATTTCAGTTTCATTTCAGTAATATTCGGCATTTATTCAGATGCCACATTCGATTAATACGAGCAGAGAGCGACCATCGGCTGTTATGGTGGCCCACACCATCACCATAGCTGGCGCTTGAGTTCTGGTGGCCAACCGAAGGTGCACGTTTTTAGCTGACCTCTTTGGCAAGTAAACACGATAATTTTGTTTGTTTACAAACTGCTGGACAACGAATGTTTTCTCATCGGAGAAAACCAAATTCGCCAGTTCATCATCATTTTATCGAGATCGGTTCAGATTTGGATATAGCTCCCATATATAACTTCGTCCGATTTACCTTTTATTGTGCACCAAGCGTCTAATATTTGTTGAAATGGGATGGAATTTGGCACTTACGACCGAATTGAGTCTGGAAGCTAGTATGTCAAATTTGGTGAAGATCGGTTCAGATATAGCTATAGCTTCCATATATATTATTCGTCCGATTTGTTATATTTGTTACCCACAACCGTAATATGCACTCTGCAACAACAATATTTGGGGAAATATATCAAATACAGCTCAGAAATATCTTTGCCAAATTTTATCGAGATCGGTTCAGATTTGGATATAGCATATATATCTTTATCCGATTTCAAATTAATTGTGCACCAAATGGCCAATACAATTCCGAATTTAAAAGATACAAATACTTCGCCATATTTAGTCTTTGAACTTTAAATTATAATTACAATCATAGCGTGTATGATTGAATTCTCCCATAAAAACTTTTAATTGTTATGTGGAGCTCTACTAAATTAGCAAAGTGGTGTAGGGTATTATAAAGTCGGCCCCGCCCGACTTTAAGACTTTCTTTACTGGTTTCTTTCTGTTGCGGTGTAAGTTCTTGCACTTTTTGGAATTTCAATGGCTTTACCCCCAGCTCATTTTTCAATATTTTGAGAATGGAATATTGCGATATGTTCAGCTCACGATCCATTTTTCAGCCAGAGCGACGCGGGTATCGATCAAGTCGCTTCTTTACTTTTCGAACCATTTCTGCTGATGTTGCTGTTTTCTTCCGTCCACTTCCTTGACGTTGGACTACGCTACCAGTATCACGGTAACAAGCGAAGGTTCGAGACACAAAAAATTAATTCACATTTAAATGCTGGAGTGCTCTAACGATAGCCTCTTGTGGTTTTCCAGCCAAAAGCCAAAAAAAATCACACTATCACGCTTGAATTTCATCACGAATAAGTTTTTTTCTGGAAATTTCTCACCAAAATGCTTCTGTACGCTTGTTAACGATGTAATGAGCTGTCAATGGAATAATTTTAACAGCTGTCGGACAAGTGGGTTAGAAATGACAGACTGCTGTCAGTTTTTGCATATCACCCTGTATATTGCTTCCATCCAATTGTAAATTTCAACCGGTTGGTATGACTTACTTCACATAGTACATTCCCAATAAAAACATGAATTTATTACGAATAGCTTTACTTAATATGTTCTACGCCATTAATGTATCAAATAGTTTGCCCCGCCCAACGTCCGCCGTTAATTCCTATTACATTTTAAATGGTATATTTCCTGTTTGAAACTTGGCGCAAAGGTCCCTTAATTAAAAAACACAAATTCAGGTTAGTTCCGATCGAATGGCATAAATAACTTCACACATTCAATTATAGGAAAAAGCTACATCGTTAGCGTTATGTTGATGCTATAATAATCGAATAACATTCGAACATTTTTAACAATCGCATTCACCCACAACATCAATCCATCTATCTAGCCATCCATCCATCCATCCAACTATCGATCAATCAATTGTCTCGCATCCAACCACCGGACTGTGAAAATATTTTTGTGGAAAAAAACTTCATCTTTTGCCGTAATGTTATTAATTTCTTGTATTTTTTATTTTTTTATTTTTTTGTACCCCAAAATTGTATTTCCAGTGCTCAAACGTCGACCGGCAAATATCAATTTAACGGCATTTATAGGATTAACCTACACATTAAATTGCCCAGTTTACAGTGTCCCGCCAGCGAATGTAACATGGTTCTATGGAAATGTATCGTTATCGGAAATATCCAATGACAACAGGCGAGTATATTGCAAAGGCTGCAAACACACACACACACATGCGCGCACACAACCATTGGGCCGGGGGAAAGTAGATGTTGTCAACACCTGGTGTTGTAGAACACATACCCACACACGCACACCCATCCATCCGGATGGAAAAAAAAAACTTCCGACTTCCAAACAAAGGACCCTTATCCATATTCACTTTTTTGTGTCATGTACAAAAGTTGCAAATGAATATGAGTGTCTGATGTTGTATTTTTTGTTTTTGTTTCTGTTTTGTATCTGAGCTTGTTACCCTGTGGTACTCTTTTGTTACAACATTTTTGCTGTTTTGTTTTGGTTTTCGTTTTTTGCAGGGTGTTGACATGACCAAACCAAATGGTTGTGTGTACGTGTGTTCCTGATGGCTGTTAATTATTTTCCCTCTTTTAAAGTTTGTATCCATCTCTTTTTTTGTTGTGTGCCATTATTAATAATACGGCTTTGAATGTGTGGCCGTAAACTTATTTTTAGTTGTGATGAGTTCGAAAATTATGTAAATTTGTATATGTAATCGGATATTGGTTTTTTCCTCCATTACAGTTTCCTGCTCCTGTCGAATGGCAGCTTGGTCTTGCGAAAAGCCAGGGAAAGAAATGCTGGCAAATACAAGTGAGTATAAAATTAAAAACAAGAAACAATGAAAGGGAATTTATGTGAGAAGAATAAAACGAATTATCGGGCTGGGTTTCCATGTAATCGAAAAAGTTTTGTATAGAAAATGTCGTATGAATCATTTGAGGATATGACATTAGTCTTAATGTTGTAAACGTTTTTTGCAGTTAATTTTTTTGGGCCCATTGCTGAGAACAGTGTTTTTGGGATGTTCTTGGGGACCTCTCAACACTGGCTCGTACGGCAGCGATATTCTCGGCCGATCCCCTTGGTCGACTTTTATATGGCCTCTTCGGATTAGAGAGAGCCTTTGTATATATATATATATATATATATATATATATATATATATAACAAAATTAATCCGCTACAAGTTGGTGTTTTTTTGCACAGATTGCTTTTGCTGAAAACCCAGAACTAAAATGGACTTATTCAAAGATAAGGTCATCGATTAGAGTAAAGGGGGGTCCAGCAGTACAAAAGCCAGAAAGAGAAAAGCAAAGGGTCGGTTGATTTGGTGTACAACCATTAAGGAAAAGTCGAAAGTCGGGGCCGACTATATGATACCCTACACCACTATGCATATTTAGTAGAGCTACCGAAACAAAAGCAATTATTTGAAGTAGATCATACCACCAATCAACCTTTGTCTTTAGAGCAGTTATAATTTGGTTTCCGAGGGAAGTAATATATGGAAGGCATATCTAATGCTGAATCGATTTTCACGAAATTTGACGGAGGCATTTTCATCTTTTATACGAAATAACATTGCTATAGAGTGTATGATATCAATTCGAGAAGGAGTTCCACCAAATGGAAACAAACGTCCCGATTTTCCCCCATTTGGACTGACATTAGCCATTATTTGCACAGTAAACCTGAAAACGGATTAAGCATATATATGGGAACTATATCCAAATATTAGCCGTTCTTGATAAAATTTGGCAAATGTCTTTTCCGAGCTTTATAAGATATCTTGTACAAAATATCATTGCTGTCGAATGCACGTTACGAATTTCATGGACTTAAACACCAAATCGGATGTTCTTGCTTCTAGACAAAATTCAAGTCATTTGGACTGATATTGACTATTTGGTGCACAATTAACCCAAAATCGGTTGAGGATATATATATAAGCTATACCCAAATCTGAACCGATCTTGACAAAATTTGATACACTTTTTTCAGAGCTGTATCTGATATCTGGTACCAAAGATCATTGTTATGAAATGCATATTACGTTTGTGAGGGACTTTAAATACCAAATCATATGAAACATATATATGGGAGCTATAGCTATATCTGAACCGATTATCACCAAATTTGAAGTACTGGTTTATAAGATGAATTCAGTCGAAACTGCCAAAATTCCAAAATTGATATTAGCCATTTGGTGCACAATAAACCTGATGTCGGATAAAGTTACATATGTTAGCTATATCCTAATCTGAACAGATCTCTATAAAATTTGGCAGAGGTATTTTTGTACAGTATCTGATGTCCGGTCCAAATATCATTCTTCTGATGTGCGTATTACACATGTGAGGGATTTAAAACCCCAAATCGGATAAAACATAGATACGGGAGCTATAGCTATATCTGAACCTATTTTCTCCATATTTGATTTACTTTCTTCTAGACTGAATTCGGTGGGATGTACCAAAATACCGGTAATTTGGGATTATATTAGAAATCGGTTGAAGATATATGGGAGATATACATAAATCTGATCCAATTATCACCAATTTCAATAGGATTCGTCCTTGGGCCAAACAAATATTGTTTGCAAAATTTCATCTCAATCGGATAATAAATGCGACCTGCATTTTGTTCACAATAATGTATGGACGGACGGACGGGCAGAAGGACTGGCATGCATAAATCGCCTCAGAAAGTGATGAAGATCCTCAAAAATAACTAGGGGTCTATCTCGCTTCCTACTCCCAGATACAAATAAATGCACAAAGACATAATACCCTTACCACTATGTATTGTAGGGTATAAAAACAAGAACGCTTTGTTGATAGAGACTGGCGAAAATGCTTTTCACTATATTTGTAATCACTATTATAAGCATGAATTCATGGGAATTTTGAAATGGCCATAACTTCTTAAATATTGAGCTTTCGGCGATTTTATCAATTATTTCTAATCACTATTATAAGCACGAAATAATGGGAATTTTAAAACAACCATAACTCCTTAAGTTTTCGGGGATTTTATCTATTGTTTGTGATCACTTCTTTAAGTATAAACTAATCTATATTTTAAAATGACGATAACTGGTTAAAATCTTGAGTTTTCAACGATTTTACCTTTGGTTTCTGATCACTTTTTTATTCATCAATAATTCATCAATATTTTACAATGACGATAACTCCTTAAACATTGAGTTTTTAGTTATTATTTGTGATTACTATTATAAACATAAATTAAGGGGAACTTTAATATTGCCATAACTCCTTGAGTTTTCGGGATATTTGGCGATAATTTATTATCACTATCCTTAGCCATGTGGCTATAGGGGGTATGATATGTTGATACGGCCGAAATGTGCCTCATCGCCCCTGGGTATCTTTGAAACAAATCCGTTTCAAAACATTTGGAGTCGATCAAGGGATGTCTGTCCGTCCTTCTGTCTGGCAGACTGGTGCGCACTATAACTATCGAAGGGATTTGATCAAAACTTGGCATATAGTAATATTATTATCAAACTTAAATCGAATTCCCAGATGAGCAATATCGGTCTACCCTTATCCTTTTTTGCATCTAAGACTTTAGAGAGGCTTTGAGATTTAGAAACCTAAATGAAATAACACATTTATTAAAAAGTATGTATCGACTGTTGATAATAATAATAAGAGCTCAGCTCAACATTTAGAATTGTAAAGAACCTAGCAACATATTTCATCCAAATGAGCACTAATTTAAAAATAGTATTCCCTTTTGTTTACGTCACAATTGAGGGCAGAATGATTTCTGTCTGTTTGTCCATCAATCGGTTGAAATCATGAGGACTATATGGTTATATGAGGACTAAGATGGTTCTCTACATCCAAAGTAGTCTTAATATAAAATTTTGAAGCAAATCGATTGGAAATGTGGTCAAGACCATCGAAATAGGTAAAATCAGGAGATACCTTTGGTTATGGAAAACTTGACCTACGTTTAAATTCAAATCGATTGAAAATGTGTCAGAGACCCCTGAAATAGCTGAAATCGGAGAATTCCTTCATATGTGGGTTACACCAAAATGTAGGCATATGATGATAATTTTTTGAAAGGATGTTTTCTTCTTTCTAAACATTCAAATTACCAAAATTATAATGAAAAATTTTGCTAAAATATATAAAACAAGTAAGTAAAGGCTAAAGTCGTGCGGGCCGACCATGTGATACCCTACAACACTACAATATGTTAGAAGCCCCCTTATGTCAAGATCCATTTTGGAAGATTTCGCTTTTGAAATTATGTCATAGAGCACTGCCCAGATATTCCCTTTAGCTTTTTGGCCAGTGACATTTGCCCAATATTTACGCACTTTACGTACTTTCTGTTTTTGAATCATTTGAACCCCTAAATATTTTGCGATCGTCTTCAAATGCAAGAGGTCCTCTATATCTCTAAATTTAAACTCATCTATATGATTTGCTTGTTTACGATATTTGACTATATTCGTCAACGAAATTATAAATAAAATAGCCAGAAGTTCGCCTTTTGTGTTACATTTTGAGTTCTCATTGTATGAATTATTGCCACATGAAAGGAGTAGGTAGAATGTGTTCGGATCTTCCAGCTGAAATTGGAAAAACTAGATGCCAATTCTAGGCAGGAAAGATCACCATTTAAAAACGTATTGTCCACTATCATTTTCTTCATTACACACATTGAGAATTAAAAACCAGTAAGGAAAATCCAAAAAGTCTTGCGGGGCCGACTATACGATACCCTACACCACTTTGCATATTTAGTAGAGCTCCCGTAACCAAAGAATTTATTTGAAGTAGATCATACCACCTTTCAACATTTGGCTTTAGAGCAGTTATAGTTTGGTTTCAGAGGGAACTAATATATGGGAGGCATATCCAATTCTGAATCGATTTTCACTAAATTTGACTGAGACAGTGCTTATTACGCATGTGAAGGACTTAAAACACCAAAACGGATGAAACATATATATGGTAGCTGTACCGATTTTCTGTACCGATTTTCTCCAAATTTTATGTATTTGTTTCTAGACTGTATTCGGTCGGATGTACCAAAATTTAGGATTTTTTAACAGATATTAGCCAGTTGCTGCACAATTAACCCGAAATCGGTTGAAGGTATATATGAAAGCAATATCCAAATCTGAACCAAACTTTGTAAAATTTGGTAGAGGTATTTCCGAGTTCTATATAATATCTGGTACCAAATATCATTGTTGTCGAATGCATATTGCGAATGTGAGGGGGTTAAACACCAAATCGGATGAAACATATACATGGGAGCTATAGCTATATCTGAGCCGATTTTCACCAAATTTTACGTACTAGCTTCTAGGCTGAATTCGGTGGGATGTACCGAAATTCAAGTCATTAGGACTTATATTGGACATTTGGTGCACAATTAACCCGAAATCGCTTGAAGATATATGGGAGCTATATCTAAATCTGATCAAATTATCGCCAATTTCAATAGGGTTCGTCCTTGGGGAATACTCCTGTTCTCTATATATTATTATTACTCCAAATGCTGATTTTAGTGCCGTTGAAATGTTGTGATCGAATTATCACTCAATTTTGCAGCATCAACTAATGATTATAATTATTGGTCCACATTGTGTTCAAAACGCATGTCTTTTTAGATCTTTCTTTCGCAATCTGCTTAGATCTTTCAATAATTTTACGAAAAATTTTATATCCTTCAGCCACAACAAAAATATTGTGCAAAAAAATTGAAACATATTAAATAGCAACTTATCTGTCGGAAAAATTCTATTGGAAATAACTTTTTTACATATTTTACTACACTTCTCTATAAAATAAACAATGCAAAATATTTTCGAAGCAAAATGTTCACCCATCAATTCCATCTTCATTATCCTTTTCAGATGTGTGGCTCACAACAGCTTTACCTCAAAGAGTCATCGGCAGTTTTTGATGACCCTTACGGTTGTGCACAGTGAAGGTCGAACACTGAACAATGCCCAACTAATACCTCATCTACAGAATACAACATTGTTTGTGCCAACCGGTGGAGATTTAAACATTAGCTGTTGCGCTTTGACCGATGATGCCATAATTGAGTGGTGGTTTCAACAAACCTTCAGTTCACCATGGATTCGCTTGGCCAACAACAGTAAGGAGTATCACATTCGATCAAGCATAGATGAGTATGAGGGTTATTACACCTGCTCCACGGCCTACAGTAATCAGACATTTCATGTTATTGTCACCACGCCACCGATGGTGGTGGAGGAGTTGGGTGTTAAGGATGGTATCATAGCCTCACCGATTACATATAAATGTCTAGTCACTGGGAATCCTCGTCCCATTATAACCTGGTATCACAATGGCGCCCAATTCAGCAGCTCATTTACGCGCTACATTAATGGCAATGAGCTGTTGATTCCCTCCTTTGATCCCGAAGAGAATGGCATTTATCAGTGTTTTGCTCGAAATGTGGCCGGTGAAGTGTATACGGCCGGAGAAATACGTCTCAAGAATAAGGGAGAGGAGAAACCAAATCCATTGAGGAATATACGCTGTTTTGCACACACGTTCAATTCGGTTAATGTTACCTTTGAAACCGATGCGTCAGTGGTATGTAGACTACAATAAACGTATATTCTATAATGTTTAATCCCTTCTCTTTTCAGTCCCTCTTTATAGTGCACATTGTGCAGACGAATCCATTCCGCTGGATCTCCCCATATTCGCCGATGAAATTAAATGCCTCCTATGTTGTGATAAATAAACATTTGCCATACATCAAACCCTTTGAGCTGATAACACGTGTCCTTATGTCTACCTCGGAGATTAGTATGGGTAATGATCGTACCCAGCACACGATACAGAGTACGTTGCGTAGTCAACCGGTCACATGTTGTACCCAAGGATGTGAGTATTTTTCGTAGTTCATAATGAATACCAACTAATTATATTGTCCTTTTTACAGTACCTCCCCGGATAGTACATTTTGGCAACAATACCTTTGTTACCTGGTCTCTAACGGATTTTAACAATGAAAAATATTTCATTATACAATTTTCAACGAATTTTACTCAGCCTGCTCCGGAAATCCTACTCAGTCCCGATTTGATCGGCACCACACAACATGTGAACTTAACCTTGCAGGATATTAGTCATAAGTTGACCCGAATATATCCCTTAAATATGATGGAATCGAGAAGAGTTCTCAAGAACGCCATCACCAGCTATGGTGATAATGATGTCAGTATGCCCGATGATCTGGAATCCGATGAGGATATTTATAGCTTGGTTGTGCATGCCAATGTCACCGGTTTAATGTTGTCGAATTTCACACGCCTGAAGTTACGTATTTTGGTCATAACAACGGATAATGAAAATTTGGCACAGGATTTTCGCTATGTGGAATGGAAAACGGTAAAATATTGTTGTAGAACAACAACAACTTGCTTATGTTCTACCTACTTCCTTAAGAAATAATTTTTGTCGAACAACTTTCTATAGAATTATTTGTTATCGGACAACTTTTCTATAGAAATAATTGTTATCGGACAACTCTTCTATAGATATAGTTGTTATTGGACAACTTTTCTATAGAAATATTTGTTATCGGAAACTTTTCTATAGAAATATTTGTTATCGGAAACTTTTTTATAGAAATAGTTGTTATCGAACAACTTTTCTATAGAAATAGTTGTTATCGAACAACTTTTCTATAGAAATAGTTGTTATCGAACAACTTTTCTATAGAAATAGTTGTTATCAAACAACTTTTCTATAGAAATAGTTGTTATCGAACAACTTATCAATAGATATAGTTGTTATCGAACAACTTTTCTATAGAAATAGATGTTATCGAACAACTTTTCTATAGAAATAGTTGTTATCGAACAACTTTTCTATAGAAATAGTTGTTATCGAACAACTTTTCTATAGAAATAGTTGTTATCGAACAACTTTTCTATAGAAATAGTTGTTATCGAACAACTTTTCTATAGAAATAGTTGTTATCGAACTACTTTTCTATAGAAATAGTTGTTATCGAACAACTTTTCTATAGAAATAGCTGTTATCGAACAACTTTTCTATAGAAATAGTTTTTATCGAACAACTTTTCTATAGAAATAGTTGTTATCGAACAACTTTTCTATAGAAATAGTTGTTATCGAACAACTTTTCTATAGAAATAGCTGTTATCGAACAACTTTTCTATAGAAATAGTTGTTATCGAACAACTTTTCTATAGAAATAGTTGTTATCGAACAACTTTTCTATAGAAATAGTTGTTATCGAACAACTTTTCTATAGAAATAGTTGTTATCGAACAACTTTTCTATGGAAATAGTTGTTATCGAAAAACTTTTCTATAAAAATAGTTGTTATCGAACAACTTTTCTATAGAAATGGTTGTTATCGGACAACTTTTCTATAGAAATAGTTGTTATCGGACAACTTTTTTATAGAAACAGTAGTTATCGAACAACTTTTCTATGGAAACAGTAGTTATCGAACAATTTTTATATAGAAATAGTTGTTATCAGAAAGCATTTCAATGGAAACAGTTGCTAACGAATCAACTAATCGAAAAAATTACAAGGAAAAAATATTTGCAACCGGAGTGATTGCTTGAAGCTTTGAAAATAATATATTCTAAATTTTGATTTTTCCCTATTTTAGGTCGTCAACGATACAGGTGAAACCATTGCCACGCCCTACCACCTGACTATCGTCGAGTCGCGAATGTTGCAATTTCACTTCCAAGAAAGTTTCAACGAGTCCTGCGTTCAAGTCTGCTATCTGCAAATTCACTATCCGCGCATTATAAAAGACGAAAGAAAATGTGAACACCGTACCATTATCAATTCCGAGCTTGAAGTGACCAAGTTGCGGCCAAATACTCATTACAGTTTTCATTTTTCAAGTTGTGATACCAACCTATTCTATGGGCAATTGGATGTGGTAACGCTGCCAGATCCACCAGGCACCATTAGCAATCAGAGGGTGACGCGTCACAATGGTTTGAAACTGAATTGGGATCCTCCATTGCAGCCAAATGGTAAAATTCATCATTACAACATTCTGTGGACATTGGGCAATGTGACGCATGAGACGAATGTTATGGAATGTGCGGTGTGTTTTTATAAGGTAGGGAAGAGGGTGAGAGTATATATTTCTTTTAATAATTGAATGTTTTCTTGCAGTTCCCCAATATTTCGGAAGAAGCCAAGATTAATATATCCGTTAGAGTTGTGGGAGAAACGGGTGTAGGAGCCCCAGTTTCCATTGATCTGCGCAATATCAATCATCGCACCCTGGAAATTGAAAGTTCCGGATCAACGACAGAGGTTTATAGTGGTATTGCCATCGGTTCCTTGCTGTCGATATTTTGTATCTTTGGCTTTGCTCTGTTGATTATGTTTCAACGAAAACGTTTCAAGGCCCGCCAGCATGGACCTACTCACCTGTCAACACCCACTGACATACATTTTGGTAATTTAAGTAACATCAACTTGCCCAGTGGCAGTGCTGGTGGCCTTAGCTCCAATACCATGCCTCCAGATTCCCATGAAATGCAGACACTAATACCCAAAGCAATGGCAAGACATTTGGATATCTTGGCCGGAGATCGTGCCATGTATGAAACGACACAGCTTGCCAATGGTGGTGGAGTCGGGGGTGTTGGTGCCTATGTTGTACGACCTAGCCTCGAGAGCATGGAAAGTTCAAATAATGCTTCCATTTTAAGTGGATTCTATATAGGTGCTGAACATAATTTGTCATCCATTCCATTGTGTCAAATAAGCCCACAAAAGAAATCAAAGGGTAATGGAAATGGTGGCGGCGGAGGTGGCCATGCCTCAGGCCACACCGATGGCCACACAAACTCCAGCAAACCATTTTTCATACCATTCAAAAATACAGCACCGAGTATTGTGGGCTTAACATCATCACAAAAACAAAGTTCCTCTGCTTTTGCTGCCAACAGTGGTGTGCCACCGAATTCCATTTCCCTGGCTGCCGTGCCCGTCGAGAGTATATCCACAGTCTTTGGTGGCACACTGCGCAGTAGTAATTTAAGTCGTAGTAATAGTAATGGCAGCAGTGCCACAAATTCCATAAAATCAAAACAGTTCCATGCTAATTTTCCCAAACATTCCACTTCGATTGATGGCATTTGTCTACTGGATGAGGAGGAGGCAGCAGCTACAATAACACCCACAACGGACTCGGATGTTACGGGTGAAGTGTTGCGGAATGGTTTTCACATCAACGGAGAGGTGAGTGGAAAATAAATCATCAAAAAAGAAGAAAAAAATATTTTCATTTTCTCTTTCTTGATAGGATCACCGGCTAAGTGATCTAACACCGGGTCAAAATACCTCAACATTAAAACGCTCTTCTTCGCCACCGCCAAAGCATTCAACTCATAATAGCAACAACTCAAAACATAAAAAATCTACGAATTTATTGAAAAAGAAAACAACACCTCAACCTTCGCTAGAATTAACTGCCACCACATTGACGACAGCAACGACAAAGTCAACGAATGCTCGGCCCAAGAGTACAGCATTTATAGTTCCAGCCAGCGGCGGAGGCTCGTTGGCAGCTATGCAGGCAGGAAATGCCGCTTCATCATCACCATCTCTGCTAAAGGCACAAAAGCCACGAAATTCTACAAATCTCAAAGCCAAATCGAAATCCTCAACTATGGAGACTAACTTTCGTCATTTAGATATGGATCCGAATGGTTGAGACGGAGGATATTTTCTATTTTACTCTTAACTTTATAGCTCTTGTCTAAGATATCATATGGAACGTAGTGGTCTGACATAATCTAAAGGCCAAAGTAAATTTGAGGGAATTTTCTGAAAAGTAATATTTTTGTTTGCTACTATATATTTTTTAAGATATCTTATAAGCAGGGCAGGAAGGTTGGAAACATGGCCTACATAAGGTCGGCTAGAAAGCCCATCTGACAACCGAGTTTGCAGTCAAAAGACGTATTGTGATATGAAATTCAAAGAGAGTCAAATTACAATAATGCAAAAACTAAAAAATTTAATTATCAAACATAGTCTTCTTGGCCGATCTTATGTAGGCCTTGCTTGGACTTATTTAAAATTTCATTCAAAATAACAATACTTTTCGAACCTTAAACTTCTCAAATTTCAACTTGACAGCCCTGTTCATAACACAGTGATACGTAAATTATACACAAAATTTTATTGAAGAGAAATGTTCCAAAAAAAAAAAAAAACACTCAAAATATTAATTTAGACATTCCAAATGTTTACATTTTATAAATGTACACAATTATGTAATAAGTCCATTAGAACCATACCCCTATTATATAGATATTGCACACCCAGAGATATTGTTTATTTATTTTATATACCTAGACCATATCCGTATTTATGTCCCAAACCCATAGGAAAATCGCATTTTACATTTGCAAGAAAAAAATATTATTGGAATAGTTTAATGTTACATTGGAGAAATAAATAGGGTTATGCGGCAGGACGGTGGACTTGAATAGATTATGGCTAGACCTTCATATAAGTCCTACTTTCTAAACATGTTCGAAAATAATTGCCTAAATTTCTACGAAAAAAATCCTCATTTTCGAATGTGAGTCAATTTTGCTCGAAATCGAACAGAATTTTCCGCCTGCCCAGTAATCTTTTAGTTTTTGTCATACCGTTGTTATGCTTTCCACCATTGAAAGGAGGATATATTAAATTTCTCATTATGTTTATAACGTAACGAGGTCCGTCTGTCAATCTGTTGAAATCACGATAGAGACCACATTATTTGCCGTAAATCTTTAAAATTTGGCACAATAGTTTTTACTGTGTCTAGGATTGTTGGTAATGAAAATTATATATCGGTCCACTATTTGGGATAGCCCCTATATAACGCTACTTCCCAATGTTCGATATTTTAATAATATTAGACAAATTCCTCCACGGATTTGTCTAAAATTAAGTATTTATACTTCGTAATGGATCCTAGCTCCGGTGGCAAAACATTGAAAATATAGCTCCATGTTTTCCTATAGCGCACATATAACGTTACCTTCGGTAATGGATACTAACGATTTGAGGCAGATTTTCTAACCGATTTGTATTTGGTATTTGTAGTTCATAATGGGTTTTAAAACCGTCTTTAAATCAATTTTCAATTGGTCCACGGTTATCATATAACGTTTCCCACGGATATTCGGTATTTTGATAATCCTAGTCACATTTACCCACGGAATTATTTCAGATTTGGGATTTAAGATTCGCAGTAGATAACAATCCTTTTAGCATAAAATTATTTTCTTTAATTTGGTTTTTTTTGTTTTTTTTTTCTTTTTTTTTTTTGTATGGACTCCATGTAATGGCTCTACCAAGTTTATTGTTTTTTGAAAACTATAACTTCATTCTTTAACCGATGTCCCTGGTATTTGTAGTTTGAAGTGTAACACGTTTGAATTTAGATATTTTTATATACAAACGTTTTCTTTAGCTAATGGTGGAGGGCATTTAAAGTTCGTAGCGTCCGAACTTCAACTTCAAGGAATATTCAATATAAGTCTACTTTTTCTATGGCCTCCATACATCCTCTCGATTTGCAATATTTCAAAGGTTTGGGTCCACTTTCCAAATGCGAAATTTTCTTGAATTGTAGTAGAATCAAATATTTCTATCTGCACGGTATCAGAGAAAAAATTCAATGATTCTCAAAAAATAAATTTGGAAGGAATTTGCAAATTTTGAGAAAAAGTCCCTTGAAAAAAATACTGCTAAAATTATAAAAATACCGAATATAGAGAGTTACCGTTATATTGGGACCTATGCGAAGACGTGGACCTGTATATACAATTTTTGTTATAGGCCATTACGATATTCAAATATGAAACTTGAAATAATTCCGGTGAATAATGCCACTAAAATCATCAAACTACAAATTCCAAATTTGAAACATTTCCGGTAAAAAGTGTGACACAAATTATCAAAATTCCGAATATCTGAAGCTACATTTATATGGGGATTATACCAAAATCTACACCTATATTGGCAGTTCTATAGAAGGATGTTTCTTACATAATGGGATTTTTTTTTTTTTTTTGCATCAGGTTACAATTGTGACTAAAACACCAAAAAAAACTTAAATCTGTCGGTGCAGCTATATGGGACTATACTAAAATGTGGACCTATATAGGCCATATTCAACACCAATAACACACATCTGAGTAAAATGTTTTCAGCATTCTTCATTTCGTTTGAAAGCTAGAGTGATTTCCACAGACGGGCAGACAGATGTACGAACATTGCTAAATCAAAATAGAATTTTATGCTGATCAAAAATGTATATACTTTGTAGGGTCTAAAATTTATATTTCGAGTTGTTACAAAACGAATGAATAACTTAATGTACCCTCCATACTATGGAGGAGTGAAAAGATTAAAGGAGAGTGTCTCATAATTTTTTCTTTCGTTTGCCGAATCTACGTCTGGAACCCACAACCTTTGGTCTAAATCGCACGCTCGCACTTTGTGTCGTAATTGTCAAATTTATACCCTCAGCCATATGGCTACAAGGGGTAAATATCATTTGATATAACCAAAACGTGCCACATCTAAATAATGATTTTAGACCCTAGGTCTCTTTGGACAAAATCCGTTTCAGGGCATTTGGAGTCGATCTAACGATATTCGTCCGTCTGTCTTGCTGGTTGGCTGATGCGCACGATAAATCTCGAAGGGAGTATCCGATTTGGTCCAAACTCGTAATATTTTTGTCAAACTTAGATCGAGTTCGGAGATGGGCTAATCACTACTGGTACCTCCCCCACAAAAGTTCGAAACTTTCAAAAAAAAATATTTTACTGCACAGTCAGAAAAAGGATAATCAGATTTTGCTCCAGCTTTGAAAATCCAAATATTTGCGTCAGTGCTAGGTCAGGTGTTAAAACTCCTTCTGGTACCTCCCCCACAAAAGGTCGAAATTTCAAAACAAAAAAAAAATGCACAGAAAGAGAAGCAGTAATCCAAATGTTTCCAACTTTGCAAATCCTAATATATGCATCAGTTCTAGGTCAGGTTCAAAAATGGATAATATCGGTCCACTCCATCAAGTGCCTCCCCCACAGAGGGTAAGAATTTTGAATAATTTATATCTCTTACAATGTGATGTTAGAATCCTATTGTCTTAAAATTTCACATATCCCAATATTTTTATAAACCCGAGATCTGGTGTTAAAATGGAATACATCGGTCTACTCCTTGTGGTACCTCGCCCACAAAAGGTCGAAATTTTAAATATCCATTGAGCTCATAAAACGCGATATTAATATCCGATTCCATTTAGGCTTGGTACATCTGATTATTTCTATCAACACAAAGGGTCAAAGTTTTGTATAACCAAAACGTTTATAAAATCCGAAATAAGTATCAGATTCTCTTTATATTTCACACATCCTATTACCCACGAAGCTCATAAACAGCGAAATTAACATCCGATTCCATTCAGACTTGCTACATCTCAATATTTCCATCAACACAAAATCTGCTATAAAGATGGTAGAGATCGGACCATTTCTTCTGGTGTCTTCCCCACATAGGGTTTAAGATTTTTAAAAACAAAACAATCAAAGAAAGCGAAATATGCATCTAACTCTATTCAAATTTCACACATACAAACATTGTTGCTAACACAAGATCTGTTGTGAGAATGATATATATCTGCGAATCCCTTCTGGTACCTCACTCACATAGGGTCAACATTTTCAATTATCTATCATAACATGCAAAACAAGTCAGCGATTCTTTACAACATGCTATATCTAAATATTTCTCTCAACCATAAATCTCTGATGAAGATGGAATTTATGATTTCGCATGAAATTGGATATAAATTTTCGACTTTCTTGTAATTTTGCCCATACCAATATTTTTTATCTATATCAGATTTAGAAGATGTCGGTCGACTATGTTTGGTACCTCACTCATATTTTAACATTTTCTAAAAATGATCACATATTTCATATAAAGTGAGGGCAGTAACCGATATCGTCCAAAACTGGATCGTCGCAATATTTATATCATATTTATCAAGGTTCGATACGAAATGGAATATATTTGTCCATTCTTCGGAACATACTCCATAGAGGGTAAAGAATTTGAATATTTATAACAGAAGTCAATGTATATACATATATAAATAAACGAAAATTGGCTGAGGGTATAGATCTGTCGGCAAAACTTACTGATACTTTTAACTTGTTTTAAACAAAAACAGGCTTTAAGTCACCTTTATAATGATCACATTTTTTTTTTCATTTAATTTTTCTTACTGCTGTAGCTATATGAGATAATATGTTCACTTTCTCAAATGTAACATTAAATTATAATGTTGATTAATTTGTTTTAATTTTTATGAGTTTTACTTTTTTATTTATTAATAATTTTGCACTTGATCGAGGCTAATTGTTATAATTTGTGTGTTTTTTTTTTAAGTTTATTTTTTAGTTTTTATGTATTCCTAAATATATACATATTTTTTTTTTAATTTCTTACACAGTGATATTTGTTCAACCATAATGCAATAGCCCAATACCAAAAACAAAACAGCCACACACACACTTACAATGCAGATTGATTGGATAGTATTTGATATTTAAAAAAACATAATTATTATCTCCTTTTATATAATTGTTCACAGATATCAATTACTTACCGCGATACGTACAGCTATTTATGTTCGTACGTATGAAAACTGCCGTAACGTATATGACACCGTAACGTATACGAAACTTTTTCCAAAAACAAGAATTAATACAAATTCATTAATTGAAATTTAAAATTCATAATAATTCTTGTGTCGAAAGAAAATGTCTGTGTTTTCAAACTTATTTTAAATTCGAATAAAAATTAAAATAAATCAAGTAAGCAATGGCTATAGTCGTGCGAAGCCGAACATGTGATACCCTACAACACTAAAATGTGTTGGAAGCCCCCTATGTCCAAGTCTATTTTGGAAGATTTCGTTTTTAAAATTATGTTATAGAGCCCTGCCCATATGTTATCCTCGTTCCGTCGTGTTTTTAGGTATTCAAAACAATTTCCTAAGAAGGTTGTAGTCCATTTCACAGCTAAATTTAATCCAATGTTCATCCATAATGCTAGACTTCTTCCCTGTCCTTAACTATAACACCATGCAAAATTCCGTGACGATTGGTTTTCAATTGTGACCTGTAGAGCGACAGCAATATCAGGAAAATATTAATTTTTTTGGTCCATTTGAACCCCTAAATGTACATCTTCAAAAACAATAGGCTTTAATTCTGACCCTAATCCTACCCCCATGCAAAATTTCGTGAGAATCGGACGATAATTGCAACCTGTATATAACACCCTCTACACATAGTGTTGCGAGGTGCAGAAAATCTTTTGAAAATGTAATATTCAAAATTGTAAGTGAAATTGAAACAAATTGCATGCGACAAAAAAAGTGGACAAAAAATTTAAAAAAAAAAATAAAAAATATTCACTTTGAAATGATGTTAATTGTGAAAATCAGTCCATCCGTTCTTGACGGAATAACTAAGATCTATGTCATTTACATATATATTGTACCTATTTTGCGATATATCCCACATTTTGGCTATCAGCACTACTGTAATGGCCGAGATATTCACGGTTTAATGGAATTTTTCGTATTTTTCGACATAAAAGTTATGGTTTATTTTGCCCGCTTAATATTGTCCAATGACCATCCAAATTGGTAGGCTTCTTCCCAGCTATAAGCTCTAACTCCGTGCAAATTTTTCTGTTTTTGACCCATTAAATAATAAATAATAATCCATTAAATAATAAAAAATAATAAATAATAAACGCCTAAATATTTTGTGATAATCTCCTAAAAATAGGCATCTACTCCGACCCTAACCCCACCTCCATTTTCAAATTTCGTGAGGATCGAATCATAATTGCGACCTGTAGCGTGATTATAAATTAACATGGACGGATGGACATACATAATTAGATCGACTAAGCTCTGCGAGATATGCCTATGTCGAGGATTAATATTTCGAGGTGTTACATAATTTTTGGCCCAATCAAACTTATAATAACTCTAACATACAACGTTGTAAGGTAACCAGTAAGGAAAGCTCAAAAGTCGGGCGGGGCCGACTATATGATACCCTACACCACTATGCATATTTAGTAGAACTTTCGTAAAAAGGTTTATACATGGCATTTCAGAGCTCTATGAGATATTTGGTACAAAATCA